CTTACTAGTGTGGCTAACTAGATAACTTGGAAGTAGAAACTTAAATAACTGACCACGAATGACTTAAATTGTCTACATTAAATTATGTCAGGGTGTTGAATATCATTTTCAGAAATAATTACTATGAATTAGGGCAGCGCCATTTAACCGTGTCCCCGTGGATATTTGTCCAACATGGCTGCTTTGTTTCCGAAGCTGTTCTTCGAGATGCTATAATCTGAAATCTCAGTGAGGAGGAACACTTTCACTTCTCCCGCTAAAACGTTTTCCTCTACTAACTTGATGATTTTTGTTTTACCTAGAATTTAAAAGCTATTATATCTTTTTTGGATAAACTATTTTGTGGATTAGCTGGATGAAACCCTAGCCTGGTTCTCCAGACGTGTAGGGAAGTCATTTAAAGGTATAGTGTTTAGGATTCATTTGAATATATTAGCTGAACTGGTAAAATATATGGGATTTATTGCAATTAGCTGAAACAAATGGCCATTGAGAAAATATTTGCACACATGTTCCCTGCCAGTCATTTAAATGTATCCGTTTCAGACATCATTGCTTGTTCCCAGAACATTTGGATTCTAAACACACTCTTATGTTTCTCTCAACAGCCCAGAGAGTTGCCAGACAAATGGCAGCATGATATGTTTGAGGAGCATGCTGGTGGACGCAGAGGACAACAGAGCGCTGTGACAGAAAGAAGTGTAGAATGTAACGGCAAGCTGCTGGTATCCAATCTGGACTTTGGTGTCTCTGACTCTGATGTGAAGGTAATTTACTGAATCCCATGAATCCACATTAGCATCAACGTGTTGTGAACAGGACTGATGTTTCTACTCTGCTCCACAGGAATTGTTTGCAGAGTTTGGAGACTTACTGAAGGCGTCTGTACACTACGACCGCTCTGGGCGCAGTAAAGGAACGGCCGATGTTCACTTTGAAACTAACGCAGCAGCACTCAAAGCCATGAAGCACTATAACGGTGTCCCACTTGACGGTGAGGATTCCATTCTCATGTTGAATTAAGTATTGTGATCGGTTATTCGGAATTAATTAATAATAAAATGTAATCCTTTTGATAGGCCGTCCAATGAAAATCCAGCAGCTGACTTCTGACGTTGACACACAGAGTAGACCATCTGTACAAAGGTATGTCATATGGAAATGGCGCTGCAGTTTGAGACCAGTATTTGGGAGCACCAGAAAAGATTCACGATATCCCAATATGTGTCTATGACTGTTTGGAGACTACAAAGATAAAGGCACCTTTAGGATTGTATGATTTGGGGGCTGTAGGAGGTTCTTATCCCTAATCGGCCAATTGTCACAGAATATGGTGTTGTGTGTGTGTCCCTAGTTTGGAGATGCTGATGGGAGTACCAGCAGCTAAATCAATTTCTTAAACCCTAAAAAAAGTTAAAATGTGTGCCACATGTATGATATTTTCACTGCTTTACTTTCTGACAGGGAACTTCAGCTATTTCATTCATCTATTATCTTGCCAAAACAAACAGTCTCTCTTTTTTTTATTTATTAAAAAACATTGATTTTATCTTGCATGGATTGCTCTACCATTACCTTGATAAGAAAATTAGTTTTAGCTGGTTACTTAAGGTCTGGTGGCTTTTTAAATTGAGCATACATAACTAGGGATGCTCCGATCGCCAATTTTGGGGACGATCGGTGGAATCAGTATCGGGCGATCCGATGGAGTGGGCGGGGCCTATGGGGATCTTCCATTTTTAAAGTGATGTTTAAAACTCAGTTAATGGGGCTCATTCACTGGCGCTGCCAAGGCACACAACAAAAATAATTATTACATTCAAATGAAGTACATTATTCAAGTTTACATTAACTTCGGATAATAACATGAGCGGAAGCGCTCTCTTTCCCTCCCTCTCCTGACAGCCTGTCAGTATCTCATGCAGCTCACTGATCCAGTAATGAGTGACCTGACCGTGAAGAATAAATATATGTATAACTAGTGTAGCTTGTTCCAGAGGTAGATAAAGTAGCTAAGTGTGTTAGGTCTAACTCTTAGTGTGTGTTTTGCTCCGCTCACCGGTCCATCACAGCGGGTGGAGCTACAGGATTTCTGCTTCACACACGTTGCATACCGCCATTTTATTGTCTTTTTCGTACACCTTAAAATACTGCCAGACCGGTGAGGCCATTTTGGCGAGCTGTATTTTACGTCATGCGATCGGTTTTTTAGAGAGCACCGATCGATCGGTAGTGAGTATCGGCCGATCGATCGGAGCATCCCTATACATAACTGTCCAAAAGGGTTGTCTAGTGATGCAATACTCCAATTAATACTTTTAAAGGTAGCTAAAATATGTGTTCCTGCTTCATCATACTACTCTAAAAACTGGTCACCCTTTCAGAATGAGAACCTGTATTTGTCCCACAGAGGGGGAAATGTATATTGTTACACAAAGTAAAGAGCTAAAGACAGCTTAGAAATTAAGAAACATACACCAAATATGTGGAAGCATACATTGCAGTTATTTACAGTAGGTGACAGCAGCCAGTAATAATAATTATGATCTCTTTGCAGTTCAAATGGAGGGTTTGACCGCAGCAGACTTGGACAGCCCAAGTTTGAAAGGAGTGAGAAGAGTGATAGGGGTGATCGCGGTGAAAGGAGAGAAAGAAGGCAAGGTGGTGGTGGCGGCGGTGGAGGTTACAGAGGAAGAGGAGGGCGGGGAGGCGGAGGAGGAAGAGAAAAAAGACCTCAACTTTCTGCAGAGGAGCTTGACGCCCAGTTGGATGCATACAATGCCAAGGTGTGTACTCATGATGCATAAAATAACAGTTTTATATTTCTTCTCCCTGTACTGTATACTGTGTACTGGATGATTTAATAATCACTTTTTTTTTTGTATGTTTCAGATGGACACCAGCTAAAGTTCGAAGCACTCGGAAAGGATGATGCTCCTCTGCCCCTTTTTTCTTTCTTTGTTAAATCTGGTTGATCAGATACGATGTATCGGACCTTATTACACTTTTCGTTGTGTTTTTAAGCCATTTTATTGTATGGACCATGATATTTTGGTGGTTTTTAATATTTTTCAGTATTTTTGTAGCCATGTTTTCTGGAGCAGTTTTATGTTTTGAATTTTTTTGTTTTGTTCTAGGCCACCAGCTCCTGTGCTCTTTTCCAAGTGTATGTTGAGCTGAAACACAATGGATTATTTTTCTTGAATCACCGAATCTTGAATTGGTGGTCCCCAAGTCTGTTTAATGTTATGTGAAAAAGCTTCTGTGCTGAAGTTCTGTCATTTGGTACTGTATACTGGACACATGGACATATTTCATAGGGTTTTGTACATAAATAATTATATTGAATCATGTTTCTGGTGTTCATTTAGAAATGTCTCTTCCTGTGACAAATGCAGTTCCAACTTTTTTTTTTAATTAAAAACAAAAAGAATGAACTCAATATTGTCATATTTGAACTATTCTCATATTTCTTAATATGTCAGTCAGGTTAGCTAAACCCCCGTTTACATGGAGACAGTTCGTGTTGTATCCGCTACGTTTCTCTTTCGTATAGCCCGTTCGTTCACATAAGGCCGTAACGGAACCGTGGAAACGGACCCCTCAAATGATAACGGGTCCCAAGGCGGATAGATCTGCAAACGGAACGCTCTGGGGGGGCCAAACGGCTCCGTGTGTACGCCCTATACGATCATTTCCTGATAACGATGAAGCCATAGCCCCTCCTCTGCTGCTCACTGCTGTAGCATGGTCAGTAGCTACTGCTACTGACCATGCCTCAGATGTTAGTGCAAAATCTACAGCTCCTCTACCACAACCATCAGCAACAAGTGGACATGGAGAACTACATGTCGCTAAATCCACCGCGGAGCATAAACAGGAGGCATCTGTACTACAGCGGGTCGCGCGGTCTCATGTGAACGCACAACTTTCTTGAGCCGATACTGTGTGAACGGAAGACTTTTGATATCGAATTCGGTTCGTTCTCCATTTCGTGTCCGTGTAAACGGGGTCTAAGACTCTTCGCGTTTCAAACTGTTACACCATATTCTGTTTAAGTGCCATTGAAAGCTATACTTTTTGCTGAACATTTATGGGATGCTTCCATTGTTAAACAAAAGAGCTGTACATATATTAATCTTTCAAAAATATTATATTTCCTACCATAAACTATTTTCCAGTTTACCAGACCAAGGGACTCTAGCATAACGGCTAAATCATTTTTGTTGTTACTACTTTTAGAAGTCTCAGTTCCACTTTGATTGATTAATACCTCGTTCAATTTTAGGAATCTGCATTTGGCCCTCCCCTTTAAGGAGGGTCATGCTGAATGACCCTCGTGAATACCTCGTTCAATTTTAGGAATCTTTTTATCACAGATATTAATTGGAAATAGCCTAATAAGTTTAGGATTGATTGATTCAAGTTAAATTGTTTAGATCAAGCCACCAGGATTTAAAAAGAAACTAATACTAAAGTTTACACTATAAAATAAAATGTTTGTAAGCTACACCTTTTCATTTAATTCCATTAAAACATGCTTTTAAAATAAAAGCTACAATGGTACCTTCACAGAAAGAAATTCTGAATATGACAGCACTACACCATTTTTGTTTATCAATTGGCAAGATCCATTGTCAATCCATGAGTTTCAGAGAAAGTATCTTTTAAGGATTGAAATTGCGATATATACTAATACCCAATCTTAAAATAGTGTGGAAGTTGGCCACATTGATAGGATTTTGTCAACTGGACTAAAACATGTAGATAAAGCATTCCATATACTGTGGTGACTCAGACTCAAAAACATCCATTACATCTTAACAGTATTATTCAAAAATATAAAAAATCACATTAAGATAATTTGATTGTTTTCTCTGTGGGAAGAATAAAGGTTTTCTGATTTATTCTGAAATATATAACATCTTTTGGAGCGCGCCCTCGCACCTTACGTCGTCTGCATGCGTGCAGCGTGCGCGGACCTGTTCCCGGAAGCGTGCTGCGGGTGCCCGAAACTCGGGGCGGCGCCGTTCCCTTGTTCGCCATACTTGCACAGGAGCGCAGAACAACGAAGGCTCCTACTGCAAAGACACCTGAAATCGCCACTTAAATATTAAGGTAAGTGTCCTCGGTTTCAAAGGCAGCCTTTGACACATGTTCTAGAAGAATCATAAACGGCGCACGCTTCTTAGGCCGTTTTTATGTCCCTCCTGCTCCCCGTCACTTGATGATAACTTGTCAGGCTAACAGTAGCCGCAGGATCCCGTGAGATTGGCTGAAAATGAATTGAAACAGTTAGCATCTGGTCTGCCTCTCCTGTCCCCACCCTGTGTGACAGGGCAGGCGCCATGAAAAGTTGAGCCCCATGGTTGAGTTGAAATCCATTTCATTTTTCTCGCCGGATAACTTTATTGCAGCTGCCCTGGCAAGCTGTCAAAGCCGGCATGTTAACCGGTTCATTGGAAACATGCCAGTCTACAGCAGTGGTAGCATTAGCTAGCTAGCATAGCCACAGTCTGTCATGTAAGGTGCCGTTTCCTCGTTACGGTAGCTGCGGTTAACATCTTTACTTTCTTAACTGTTAACGTTACCTATTTGTTGTCGGTATTTAAATACAGTAGCTTTGGAAAAAATAACATACTGGAGTTATCATGGTTAATGTTTTTACGGGTTTTATTCAGTCACATTTCTAGAAGGTGTGATACGTGACATAGAACACAATAGAGCAGGAGCATATTTCTTTTGTTTAAAATTATGTTTTACATGACAGACAGGCATTCTTCTCACCAGGCCAGCAGGGGCAGAGAGAGACTGGATGTTTGTGCTGTTGGCCTGCAGTTTGTTTAATACTAAAATAGATTTTCTTGGAAGAAGCCCAGGCCAGACAGAAGAGGTAAACTTCCTAGAGTCGATCAGACTGCAGCCTGCTGTGCATTTCCTCTGTATGTAATGTGAAGTTACTGGTATTGTGAGTGCAGCAAACGGTTTCTGTTCCCCTGGGTGGGTGGGGTGGGTGGGCTTGTCACATTTGGATGTAAGTACAAATCTTGAAACTGCAAATTGTAGTTGTTTTACGACATCAGGTTTGATATATATTCATAATTATTGTTTTTCCGAATGATGGAAACAAAGCACACATGTTCAAGCTGAATAGGCCAATTAGGGACACTCTTCCTTCTCAATGGTTAAAAATATAAAAGATTATCAATCCTGTTTCATCAATGCAGCCATGTAGACCACGCCTTTTAGAAAAAAAAGAGTCCCTGATAGAGAAGGGAGAGGATCTTTTTGATTTCTCACCTGCGTGAAACAGAGTCGAATGCCAGAACTTACATAATGCCTTCACTGTGAAGACCCCCACCCCCCCCCTCCTGCTCCTGTCCTGTCATTTCAAACCACCTCGATCCAAATGTCTGCCTCCTTCTGATATCACATTTTGTTGTGCAAAAACAGTGGAGTGCATTGTGAGATCACAAGAATATTTAATAAAAAAAGAGTCCGGCCTCCTTCTCTGCTGCAGTGTTCTGTTTTATGACCCATCCTCTACACGGTTATTTCCATTTAAAGAAGTCACATTCCAATGATCCAGAGCTGGAGTGCTGGAGGAAATATATGAAACCAGTTATGGCTAATTTTGAGCTCTTCAAGTTGTTATTGGTTCATTCATGTTCAACTCTTTGAATGTGTAGTGTTGGAATAGCAAGGAAGCCCTAAGGGCATTTTGAGCAGTTCTGGGCCCTGCTCAGGCACGTTCTGTGACAGCAGACTGAAGATCCTCAGTTTGTTCCTGAACTGCACGCAGACATTCCTCTGACTGCTGCTAGCTCGGGCTGGTCAGAGAAGAAGTATGTTGCAGAAGGAGGAGTCTGTATAGTCATTATATTCTCTTACACATGTAGATAGGATTGTTGTTTTATACTTCACAGCTGTTTTGGCTTTATTATTTCAATAATGCACATTTGATTTGCAATGTACAATTGGTTGTTTAGGCCTACTGTCTTAACCCTAAACTTTCTCAGTCCCTTCCATTAAGGCTGCATAATTAATCAAAATGTATCCACAGCGCAATATGGACTAGTGCAATATTCAAATCACAGGAGGACCAATATAGTTAAAGACTAAATATGTGTTAAAATAAAAATTTGAATTAAATAAGTTCACCTACTTAAAGAGTTTTCCCTTTCCTGTAGTGCCTTAAATACGTTTTTTTGATCATGGTGACATCACTAAATAACACTCAGGCTTCTATTGGATAGCGCTTCCTTCAACACATTGTATGTGATATGCTAAGGGTCGGGACATCTCTAAGAGGTTGACCAATCACAACAGAGCCTTTCAGCTAACCAATCAGAGCAGACTGCACTCTGGTTTCAGACAGAGGGTGAAAAGAGGTGCTGCATATGTGTTTCTCCCCAAGCTTGACCATTTATTATATTTTCTAATAATAATGATAATAAGGCTTCAATAACATTTAATACCAGCATTATTGTGAATCATATGGCAATTGCATATCTGCCAAAAATCAGCACCCATTATTTCTTTTCAAATGGCGCGGCCCTAGCTTCCACAGCTTGGATAAGTTTGGTTGCTGAGAGCTTTTAAATCCCTTAGTGGTGGCTGTAGTTGTGTAATATAGTTCCCTACCTGTGTTTTAATTCATGTTTTATTTTGATGTGCGCACCATGACGTCAAGTCAAATTCCTCGTATGTGTAATAAACCTGTTTCTGATTCTGATGTAAACTGATATTCACAAGTAGTCATTAAAGCATTATAATTGGCTCTTTGGAAGCGATAAAGATACAATTAGCTTTTAGTAAGTTTCAATTATGGTTTGATCAAGGTAAGCCCATCACGTTATGTTTTTGATCAAATGGTCCAATCATCAGTAAAACAATAAGAAAACTAAGGTAGTGCATATAATCCCCTCTGTCTAAAAAAAAACGTAGAACAAATCTTACTGTTGGGATTGACTGCATTGTGTTGCATATCAAAAGATGCAGTGGTGTTATGTCAAGTATTTTGGCACAAAACAAAGCCCTTCCTGCTTTTGTTAATCAATATATTTCAGCAGAGGTATTTTTCCAGTATGACCCTCCTTAAAGGGGAGGGCCGAATACAACATGAACAAGCTTTGTATTGTTACATTTAACTTCAATTCATTAGCTTAGCATTAACTTAACTCACCAATTTCAATTGTATAGCCTAGATGATGTGCCCTAATTTGACCTCTTGTTTTTTACTTTGGATTGTTTAATTATATAATAATATGTTAGCATACAACGGAAAATCAATATAATATATAAATATACGTTTTAATACAATGAACTGGGATCTTGTTGCATATAAATAGCATAACAGCTAAAGGTTTGATTGGTCCATCTTTTCTGAAACATCCCTGCAGGCAGATTTTTTTCTTAACATACCTCCCAACACATAAACAAATACCTTGTGCTGCCTATGACCTAAATGAGGGACCATACCTCCCCAGGGAGAGGCTTTGTACCATGTGACCTGTGACGGTCTCATTCATGACTCCTGGTGGTGATGATGTTGTTTCAGAGAAATTGATACTCGATCTGTCAGTATTATCGTATTGTAAATGTCTTTCGATATAATTGCAGGGTGAGGTCATCAGAAGTGTAAGGAGAAACGCTGCTGCCATACTTTTTCTTCCTATTGTATTTCAAAACCGGTTTTATTTTCTTCTTCTTGAACCCACTCTGTCTCCAGACATGGCCGAGGATGACGTGACTCCAGAGCAGCTAGCAGCCATTGCAGCTGAAAACGAAGAGCCAGACTCGGTGAACTACAAGCCCCCGGCCCAGAAGTCGTTGAAAGAGATCCAGGAGCTGGATAAGGACGATGAGAGCCTACGCAAATATAAGGAAACTCTGCTTGGCTCTGGGCCCTCTGGCGCTGGTAAGGGGTGTGTGTGTGTGTGTGTGTGTGTGTGTGTGTGTGTGTGTGTGTGTGTGTGTGTGTGTGTGTGTGTGTGTGTGTGTGTGTGTGTGTGTGTGTGTGTGTGTACGATTTACGCAGCGTGTGTTTGCCTAAATGGG